AAAAACACTCAGGGGGGGATGAGGCAGAGCAATCGCAAGTTTGAGGTCAGTTTAGAGGGACCCTGTCTGGCAAACAAAACTTCCCAACAATAATGGCAAGGTAGAATTTAAAAGCCTGAGCCTTTCTGACAGAGGCGGGTCATTTGGTGTAAACTGGATAAAATCTGATGTTTTCTTAAGAAATATCACGGCCAGCTCTCCAATCACCCTGCTCAGGTCCTCCGGACTTTTATGCTGAGCTATGGCAGGAACTGAGCTGGATTCCAGCTGAGACTCTTCAGAGGGAGCCCGCCGCATCCTGGGAAATGCACCAAGCTGAGGGAGACCTAGGACTTCCAAGCCCAAAGCTTGGTGTTTCCAGGGGTGGGGACCCGGGGACAGCAGCCAGCAGGAGGCCAGAGAAGCAGCCCTTTCAGGCAGGGCTTGAATATTTTTCCAATCGTTTTAATGACGGTTTGTTGCCCCCTGCTGGCCGCTGGGCTGCCGCACAGCGTTCTGCTAAGGAACCGCGGGGCTTCTTGGACCCCCATCAAAATACGGTGATCAGTGTGATGGCAGATGGCCTTAATCCAGGAACTAGGTGAATCTACGGCCCATCTTGTTGATATAGCTAGTTCCAGGGCAGTCTGGGACCCCGTCTCAGTAAAATTAAATTGTGAGTGGGGCATAGCAGCATTATCTGGATCCAGTGGGTTGTAATTTTGTTTAAAAGAATAGGGTGTGACTTTGGGCAAAGAAGGGATACAGAAGGAATTGAGGATGGGGCTGAGAGGGGGTATAATCTAAATACATTGTATACATGCATGGAATTCCTGAAGAATAAACTTTCTAAAATGTGAATGGGGATAGAAGTGAAGAACCACAGTAGTAATTCATTCATCAAAACATGATTTTGTGGGTGCCTTTTATTTCCTTGTTTATTGTTTTCTTGGGTGTGCTTTTTATAAATACATTACCTTTTATTCATCCATCAATCATATAAATATTTCGAAGGGACCCAGAATGGCACTGGGGTTATTGATGGATTGACAGTCACGTTCTTATTTTATCCTCAAATAAAAGCATGTAGTGAGGTCTATCCTTGTCCTTTTTGATTATTTTGATACAGGTCTGATGATAGCATGGGCTGCCCTGGAATCGGTCATCCCCCTGCCTCAGCCTTTGGGCTTCTAGGCTGCACTACCACCCTACTCTGGAATTATGATTAGCCTCCATTCATGGCTCACAACCATGACTGCCTCCCCGTCACCAAACTGAGGCTGCAGCAGCGAGCAAAGGGACTGAGTCATTACTCTCACTTTGCAGTCTAGTGGGAGAGGCAGACGCTGATCAACTGCAGGGCCACTGCGACAGTCAATGTGGTAGAACCAGAGGAAGGGTCCCAATAAGAGAGAGGGCCTAAGCAATCCATCGGTCCTATCAAATAGCCATCAGGCTGTCTGATATGCACTGAAGTTACTTAAGTACTTCTGCTTTGGTGCATGCATCCTGAGCATCCGTCAGGAAAGGAGGTTCAGAACTGCCTGCTGTTGTACACAAGCTAATGCACAAGGAATGTAAAGAAAGCTGCCAAAAATAAACAAATAAATAGAAAGAAAGAAAGAAAGAAAGAAAGAAAGTTGTCCACAGATCCAAGGATAAAGAGTTGCTTAAGCAAATTATGGTATACTCAAAAGGAAAAAAAGAATATTCTAAAGCCATTGGACATGAAAAAGTAGAACTCCCCCGTTTGAACAGGAGGAGAATTCATTGCTTATTTTGAAAGTTACAGTAATAAATCTCACTTCCAGAACATTTTTATGTCTCTCTTCTGCTCCCAGCTCCACTGTCGCTGCTGCTGGATCGCTGTGACGTTCATGCATACATGCTGTGATTTCTCCCCCCCCCCCCCGCAAAGTTTTCCTCTGTGTCCCTACTGGCTCCCACCTCATCCTTGTCACCCTTTGCAGAGGTGCCCCTCTGAAATCCACCCTGGCCAGAACCTTGTGCATGTCAGAGCGCCCTGTGGCCTCCATATTGCTAAGTCCCGCACTCATGTCGCGCTGTCTCCATCAGCAGTGTTAACGCAGCCACAGAGGACCCTGCCTCCTCCCTGCTCTTTCCTCCTCCAGGCACCAGAACTGGGCCTCATATCCCCTGCCTCTGGCTTCCTCCTTCCCTGGCTTCATCACAACGTCCTCACGTCCTCACGTCCTCACGTCCTCACGTCCTCACGTCCTCACGTCCTCACGTCCTCACGTCCTCACGTCCTCACGTCCTCACGTCCTCACGTCCTCACGTCCTCACGTCCTCACGTCCTCACGTCCTCACGTCCTCACGTCCTCACGTCCTCCTAAGCTTTGAAGGTTCATTTTCTTCTCTACCTACGATCATTCCTTTGACCTTATCCGATCCTGGCTTTATTTATTTAAACTGTTTCTTTTCATTTTTAAGCATTTTTTTTTAAATGCTTATTGTACTATTGTGTGTGTGTATATATACATGTACACGTAGACGAACCGACTCATGCCATAGCGCAGGTCTGAAGACAACTTGCAGGAGGGAGTCAATGTTCTCTTTCCTCCATGTGGATCTGGGGATTGAGCTGAGCCGTTTCATTGGCCCTGTTCATGCGCGCATGTATGCATTCATTGATGGAGATGGAGCCCAGTGCTTGCCAGGCAAGCTCTCTGAGTCACCCACCCGTCCCTCGCCTTCTTCAGTGAGACGTCTACAAGAGCGGCTGTGGCTCGAAGTTTTCTCTCCGTGCTAACCCTTACTCTTTGGAATTCAAAGCAAAAGGTTCCGGATTTCCAGATTTCTTTCTCGTCTACCTCACCTCTGCCTTGTGCCAACTTGCTAATTAAAGCCAGTTAGTCCCAGGGAGATTCTCCTGTGCCCACAGACTGCCCAGCAGCGATATCTTGCCCTTCTTGGCTCTGGGGGGATGGATGCTACCCCACAGCAGTCTTAGCTTTGCTTGGGACATCCTGAATCCTCGAGTGACTGTGTGGAGGTGGGGCCCCCCACCACCTTCTCTCCACTCAGAATTTCATGAGTGAAAGCAAAATATTTATTGTGTACAGCTGTAGAAATTCTAGGTTTATTTGTTCAGTAACAAGGGGCGATTAATGGACAATTTGATCCTTTGCATTGGGACCGTGTGGTTAAAGATAATCTCTAGTGTAGGAGGAGGGCCCATTTGTTCATCCTGCTGCCCAGCTAGCTTAGCCCCAAAATAACCACACAGAAACCATATTATTTAAATCATTGCTTGGCCCATTAGCTCTAGCTTCTTATTGGCTAGCTCCTACATCTCAATTTAACCCATTTCTATAAATCTGTATATTACCACAAAGTCGTGGCCTACCAGCAAAGTTTCAGCATATCTCTGGTGGTGGATCCATGGTGTCCTTCTGACTCTGCCTTCTTCCTCCCAGAATCTGATATCCTATTATTTAAACATAATAACATAAAGCAGGCTTGCAGCTCTCTCCTCTCTTCTGCATGTCCCTCATCTGTTTGTTTGGACTCTGTGAAATGGGACGATGTGACCAGATGCTGTCCTCAAGCTCAAGGTGAGAGACTTTGCTCAGGACTCAATCCCTGTAGGAAGTAGGAGGTGCAGGGAACAGGCAGGATGTCATCAAAGGACTGCTTTCTGAAAGTGAACCATTGCTAGCTGCTCACTGCTGAGCCAATCTTGTTTTTAGGGATCTTCTAAACAAAGGGCTTGAAAAGCTGAACTACTCTGCCCTCTGTGTTCCCCAAGGGAGGGCAGATTGAGAAGGGACAGCAGGAAGCCGAAATCTGGAACAAACGCCACTGGGGCGGTATGCCTGTTCCCACGAAGTGCCCTGCTGTAATAATAGGGCACAGGAAGCTGTGGTGGGTTCAGCTAACAGCTCTGGGTGGGCTAGGTTCTGCCCGACACACAGATAAGGAGGGGCAGCCGCTTGGGGCCCCAGGAAACCAATTCGCAGGAAAGCTGTCTTTGCTAAAGCCACTATGATCATATATGGACATCTCCAGTCGTTAACTCAACAGAAGCAACCAGTCTTCCCAAACTCGCGTAGGCGCAGAAGATGGAGGCATGCTGAGCCTGCCTGTGATGCAGAACTGCATTCTTGTTTAGGGAGTGTGCACCTGTATGATTAAGGATGGTTACACAAACTGGTGTCCACTCAGGCTCATGGCCTCCACTGATTCATGCATAAGGTTTTCCGTTAATAATGACTTCTGGGCCAGCAAGATGGCTCAGCAAGGAAAGGTGCTTGCCACCAAGCCTGATGACCTGGGTTTGATCCCCAGGACTCTCATAGTAGGAAAACCAACCTCTGAAAATAGTTACCTTACCTACGCAGGCACCAGGGTATACCCACCACTACCCTCACACAGGTAGGTAGATAGATAGATAGATAGATAGATAGATAGATAGATAGATAGATAGATGATAGATAGATAGACAGACAATAGATAGATGATAGATAGATAGATAGATAGATAGACGATAGATAGACAATAGATAGATAGATAGATAGATAGATAGATAGATAGATAGATGGATAGATAGATAAGCAAACAAGCAAATAAATGTAATTTCAAAACCCCATATGTAAGGCTGGGGTGTCATGCAGGGGTAGAGTTTTTTGTTTTGTTTTGTTTTATTTTTGCTATTCTTATTTCGCCTATATTTAGCTAGCATGTGTGAGGGTCAGAAATTGATCTTCAGCACAAAACAGAGTGTCCAACTCATGATACATGTGGGCGTTCTTGTAGTTACACCCAGCATGACTACAGTGCTCCCTTAAAGCGGGGTGCGACTGCAGCCCAGAGCCCCTGAGTGGCTCGCTGGGCCTTGGGGCTGTGGGCAGCTCAGCTGTCGCACACGCACACAGGTGGTGTAAGGCAATAGCCACAGAGTCAGCTGGCTTCCAGCGCCGGCAGCCGAGCTCCAGACAGAGTGCCAGGGCGCAGGGCAGGCAGCTGGCTACTGGAGGCCACATCAGTGCCCACAGCCCATGGAGCTCCCAGCGTTCCTCCTTCTGCTAGGCCTCTGCTCCGGTAAGTGCTCCTGGGGATGGGTCCTTGCTTTGTGTCTGAAGTGCTAACTCCCTCCCACCCCACCCCACTCCCAAACCTCAGTCTTACTTCTTTGATGGGAATACAGGATGCAGACACAGGCTTCGCGACCAGTCATTTCTAGACATTGGTTTGAGGGGACTCGTGGATTTTTAGCTTGTTTACCTGGTTAAAGTGGGAGCTGTTTAGTCAGAAGCCACGAGCAAAATATCCTGGTTGCTCTATTATTGCCTGGTCCCAGACGCAGCCACGTGAACATCCTGGCGTACTTGTATGGTCTGGGTCACCGGTAGACAATGGGCACTGCCTTCACGTTCAACCCCCTAGCAGGCATGCGCAACACACAACCTGAGGGCTGCGTGTGCTCAAAGATACCTAGAAACGTGTCCCAATACAAAATCATAAACTTACTTCAGTCTTATTTGTTTATTTTTGATTATTTTATTTTTTTACTTTTTTTTTTGGTAACTTGATCGCATGGTTTGAGGTGTGAACTTCTGTAGGTGATGGCGTGTTGGAACTCACCAACAACGCAGCGTCATAACGACATTCACGGGACTTTTGTGGCTCTAGAAGCTGTCTGAGAATGAAGGGAATTGATTGGCAGCTACAGGTGCCGGGAAGGGAAACCTGTTCATCAGTGTAGGTTTAAACTGTCTCTACAGAGAACAGGTTTTGTCATTTTTTTTTTTCCAACTTCAGAGTTTTTTTTAAGTCCATATAAAGGCGCAGCTGCCGCCCTCTTGCCCCACCCCCTTCTTTAAGGCCCTCACTAATATGTCGGCTTTCGTTTGAGTTGGACTTATGAAACCTTGCACAGCCCTTGACCTCCTCTCTGCTCTGGAATGTGTCACATCCCAGCAGCTGAAACGGTATCTGAGACCCAGACTTCCGGTAGAGGGAAACAGGAGATGCATGTTGATTGCTTCCTGTGAATGTTTCCTGGTGACATCATCCTGCCAAGGAGCAAGGAGGCCAAGGGCCCGCAGCCCTGTGCTCTAAATGGCTCTAATCAAGGCAGGCCTTCCAGGCAAGGGCAAAGAGCTTGTGCAAATACACACTCACTTTCAACAGCAAACTTAGGGAAAATATCTAAACTCAGATCAATTAAAGCCTGTGGAATTTGAAACTGAGCCAACCAAATCGGGTTCAGTATGTGTGTGTTTGCAAACACCACACTCAGGGAAAATTCATTTTTAAAAGATTTAAAAGATTTTTTAAAAAAAAATTTGTATGTCTGAATGTTTTACCAACATGGATGTGTACCACATGTTCCTAGTGACTACAGAGGTCAGAAGAGGGCATCAGAGTCCTTGGAACTGGAATCACACATAGTTACGAGCCACCCTATGGGCACTGGGAACAAATTAGGTCCCCTGCAAGAGCAGCAAGTGCTTTTAACTTCTGAGCCATCTCTTCAGCCCCCTTAGTGAAAATCCGCAAGTGCTTCTAAAAAAAAAAACCTACAAGCTCTCTCAGGACAACAAATTCAGATGCAGCTGCTCAGGGAAGGGTGTGCTATGTATTTTGGTCAAACCTAAAGTTTCCTGTGTTGATTCCCATGTGTAGTCTGTGGGAGGCGAAGACTTCACCTTGAGTGGGTGAAGTCCTGGATGAATGTGTGCTGTTGACTCAGGCAGGACTGTGCCAGACATCCCAGAGCCTCTGACCTGTAGAGGAAGAGGAAAGCTTCCCTAGGGCAAGGCTCAGAGTGAGATGGCAAAGCCTCCCTCTGGTGCATGTGTGAATGTGTGTGCAGAAATGTCTACCATTGTTTTCTCCCCCCTGGATGTTATGGCCTGAAGACTGCTCCCCTATAGAGCTGTGCCCACTGAGATCGCTACCCTGTCCCAACTGTATACCACAAACCCTGCCTCCTTGTTGAACTGGAGGTTGTGGCTTTCCAGCTAAAGTTCCGGCGTCCCTCTCCAGCAGGACTACATGGTTTCTCTCTGACTCTGCCCTTCTTTCTCCCAGCATTCAGTTTAGTTTTTCCCCGCCTACTTTTGTTCTGTCCTGTTCTGCTATAGGCTCAAAGCAGTTCCTTTATTTATCAATGGTAATCACAGCATACAGAGGTTAAATCACACATCAAAAATAGGACATACAGAACTGTGTTCTAAGTAGAAGTCCTAACCCGAGTCATCAAAGCACAGGGGTTTTGTTTGTGATTCAGTTTTCCCTCTGTTTTAATTGGCACACGGCTCTACCAGCAGTGCTCTGTGAAAACTCAGGTAAAACATGCATGTGTAAACCGGACTGTTTTAGCATTTAAAGCGCACAGTTCAGTTCAATATTATCATTATTGCCTAGCTCTGGAACTCTTTGGTTGTCTCCAGAGGACACTCCGGCACCATTAAGTGGCCCTGTTCTCCCAGTTGTCTGTCTTTCCACCACTATGAATTTACCGGTCCAGCTGTCCCATCAGCAATACCCTTGACACCTGTTTGCACTAGCGGAATGTTTTTAAGGTGTATCCATGTTGCAACAGTATCTTCACTTCATACCCTTCTTATGATTTAATAATATTCCATTCTTTGACTGTACCACAATTCATCCATCCCTTTATCTGTTAAAGACACGTGGGACTGTTTCCACCATCTGAGTATAACACGTAGTTTGGTTGTTCTTTGGGTGTACACTCAGGACTGAACTTGCTGGATCATATAGCAACTCCGGGTTTAGATTGTTGAGGACCTCAAAATACCATATTCTCACCAACAGTATGTGAGGTTTCGAGTTTTCTATAACTTTGTCAGCACTTAGTACTTTCCTTTTAGTTCACTGTGGCCAGCCTGGAGGTTGTAAACCAGCACCCACTTTATACTGTCCATAGCATCCTGAAATAGGAGGCCAGTCAGTCCAAGGTTGTCTTAGACCATATCCAGACTCTAAAATGCCCATGCTAGCCTTCGTGTGTGTGTGTGTGTGTGTGTGTGTGTGTGTGTGTTCTCTGTGTGGTCTCCTGGAAAACATGATGTGGCCAGGGCTGCATTAAGTAAGGTCACCTATCGAAAGAGCATGTGTTATCCCACCCAACTGTTTCTGGGTAAGGGACCACACCGGCAGCTGTGTTTGGGAGGGGGCGCTGCCTTTGGCAGGGGCTCTGTGTGCCCTTCGTTACCCAGCTATGCCTCTAGCCCTGGCGAGAATGTACAAGCTGGGAAACAGTATCTGACAAGATACGTGTCCTTTGCTGCCCAGCTGGCCTGGTTCTGGGCTCCGAGCATGAGACGCGTCTGGTGGCAAAGCTATTTAAAGACTACAGCAGTGTGGTTCGGCCAGTGGAGGATCACCGGGAGATTGTCCAGGTCACCGTGGGCCTACAGCTGATCCAGCTCATCAATGTGGTAAGATGGGTGCTGGGGGTTCCCTGTGGCACCCACTGTGTGGCACCCACCCTCAGCTTCCCTGTACATTCCCTAAAGAGGGGGCTTCTTTGCTTACAGGATGAAGTCAATCAGATTGTGACCACCAACATCCGTCTGAAACAGGTAACGCAACCGGGTAACTGCCTTTATGTCGCTCTTATTCACCTAAAATCAAACCTGGGCCGGGATGAAATCAATCTAGGAAAGAGGATCGAATACAAAAATGTTGGAAGTGGGTCCCTTGGGACGCGGGGAGCATATATACCTGGCATATTCTAATGTCCTGTTTGATTTGAGTTTTCTCTTTGTGTTTGTTGGTCTCTGTGTGGGTTCATCTGCTAGGGAGGCTGTAGCCAAGGAATACAAACTAGAAGGCTTCAACAACAGGGATTTATCATTGCTCTGTTCTGGAAGCAGATGTTGCAGATGTTCCAGATGTTCCAAAGTCAATGTGTCATTGGAGTTGCTTCCTTCCGAGGACTGAGGGGGGATCTATTTCGGAAGTTTCTCCGAGGCTTGTAGATAGCTGTTGTCATGTTCGCTAACACATTCGCTCTGTGAATTTAGTGTGTGTGTTTGTGTTTAAATTTACTCTTTTTATAAGGCCATTGGACTGGGGCTTACCTAATGAACTGGTTTTAACTTTGTTTCTTTGTAACGATACAACTAGGGGCCCATCTGAAGTACGGGCTAGCGCTAGCAAGAGTGAATTCCACGGAAATAGAACTCAGCCTGTGGCATGGCGTTCCTAAAGCTTGCGGGTCCATCGGGACTCTGAATCTCTCTAGCTAGGAGGCTGGTTCCGCGGTCTAATTAGGGACATGTCTCCCTTTCTAGCAATGGGTAGATTGCAACTTGAAATGGAATCCAGACGACTACGGTGGGGTGAAAAAAATCCACATCCCCTCGGAAAAGATCTGGCGGCCGGACGTCGTTCTCTATAACAAGTAAGCAAAGCCATGAAGGGGGGGCCAAGTGTCCCCTCAGAAAAACTGCCACCTGCGTTTCCCCACCGTTTGCATTAAATAACCCTTAAAATCAAAGCCACGTTGACAGGCGAGGGGTGCCATATGGCGTCCCATGTTATGAATAGAAACAATTATGGGAGCCAAATTGAATCAGGGCTGTGGGTGGGGACATTAATCCCGGAGAGCCCCAGTGGGGCGTGTGGCAGCCATCTGAATCACCTGGACTTCCGTCTCTGAGTTTCTTGGAATCAAATACCCACCCCCCACCCCCGCCGCCCCCGCCACCAAATGGGTCTCAACTCCCAGGGGGTCTTATTCATCACGTCTTGAATGCCATCCCAGCAGTAATACCCGGATGCCTAGGTTGCCATCCATGGGGCCCTGCCACAGAGAAATTATAATGAGATTCAAGACACTTGGCTTAATGACACGTTCATTATCATATGCCCTTCATTTGTCAGGGAATATTCATTTCAAAGAGCATCCTTCCAAGGCAGGAGCAGGAGCATGCGCAGTCAGCTAGAGGATTTGCAGCCTGCTCCCACACACACCGCTGCTGTTCCCGGTAGGGGCGGTGGATGAAAATGATGCCCTCTGGCGGCCCTCCCAGCATCTACCACACGCCGCCCAGCTATAGCTGGGATTCCAGCCTGACCCAAATTCCCCCACTGAGGCGGTGCGCTTCTGTACAGAGATGCTGATGGAAGCAGAGCCTTCTCTTCCGTGAGAACCCAGGGTAGCTCTCGTTCTCTCCACAGTTCCATAAGGGGCACCTCCATGGCTAAAAAAAAGGCTGCGGGGGGGGGGGGGATGCAGTTCAGTGGCAGAGGATTTGTCTGACTCATGATATCCTTATACGGAATCCTCAGAACTAGAGGAAAAGGACGTTTTGATATTTTTAAAGACCTACGTTTTCAGCTTCTGAGAAGGGATCCAGCTATGTGGCCACGCTGGGTCTTCAGACTCCCATGGCTTCCCTGGGTAACCAGGGGCTGAAGGCCTCGCTGGCTTGGATGGCTGGGGGTTCTGTGCCCTTCTCTCTCAGCTACAACGGCCCCTCCCCTGATGGCCAGAAGGCATCTGAGTTTGTGTCCCGCCCACCAAGTTCTGAACACCCCTCAGAAGGGCACAGCCCTCCCGCACAGTGTTCAGCTACTAGGAGTGTTTTATTTTAAGTTTTCAGATTTTCCAGTCGGCTCTCAAAGCGCAGATAGAGGCTCACATTGTGAGGGTCTCTGGGGACTGGAAAGGAGAACCGAGGTGCAAGGGGCCCATGTCACCTGTTGGTCCCTGAAGCCTGTAGGTCCCCAAAGCCTGTAGAGTCCTACGTTCTTCCTTTGATATCTGAGTTGGGGCTTGCTTAGTGCTCAGGAATCTGTATTCTTTCTTTCATCGGTTCATTGACTGACTGAGAGAGAGTAGCTCTTTCTATGTAGCCCAGACTGTCTTAATCCCAGCCACTGGAGCGGTGTAATCACCACACCTGGTTAGTACTTAAGAATGTGGGGTTTTTGACCATTACTCCAGGGAGGCTTTTTATAAGAGAAGTTTGGGGAGCCCTGTGGTAGACTAGAAGGCAAGATTGGAGCCATTTTTCTCTCATCCCAACCGTAGTGCAGATGGCGACTTTGCCATTGTCAAATTCACCAAGGTGCTCCTGGACTACACCGGCCACATCACCTGGACGCCTCCAGCCATCTACAAAAGCTACTGTGAGATCATTGTCACCCATTTCCCCTTCGATGAGCAGAACTGCAGCATGAAGCTGGGCACCTGGACCTATGATGGCTCTGTGGTGGCCATCAACCCGGTAGGTGGTGGCCTCTCGGGATGAAGCAGGTTTCAAGAATAGGACCACCCACGTATCCAGGGTGGGCCTACAGCTGATCCAGCTCATCAGTGTGGTGAGATAAGTGCTTGGGGGCAACCATAAGCTCCAGGCCCTCCTCTCAGCTAGAGATGCATCCAATTGTATGGCTTTCAACTGAGTGCCAAGGTTCCTGATGCCCCGGAGAACTAAGCAAGAATTCCCTTTGCTGTGTGTTGTCTCAAGAATTCTGATGAATGGGTCAAGCGGGACTCAGGACATACATTTATTTATTTATTTATTTATTTATTTATTTATTTATTATGTGTTTGTTTGCTTATTATGTATGTAGTGTTCTGCTTGAATGTCTGACTGCAGACCAGAAGAGGGTGTCAGGTCTCATTACGGATGGTTTTGAGCACCCATGTGGTTGCTAGAAATTTAACTCGGGTCCTATGGAAGAGCAGCCAGTGTTCTTAACCTCTGAGCCATCTCTCCATCCCCAGGATCAGTATTTTAAAGTTTCACGGAGATTTGAGATTTGTAGAGCCAAAACGAATAACCCTAACTTATCATATAGCACATGCTCTAGGAAATAAACCTATTACCCCGAAACAGGGGCCCAGCATCACTCTTAGAGAAGTGACCCTCTGAATGGGATATGGCTGCCGTGTCACCGCCCCTCCTCGGGGTGATGGAGCAGGGCTCGGCAAACCTTGTTTTGTTCCTCAGGAAAGTGACCAGCCGGACCTGAGTAACTTCATGGAGAGCGGGGAGTGGGTGATCAAGGAAGCCAGGGGCTGGAAGCACTGGGTGTTTTACTCCTGCTGCCCCAACACCCCGTACCTGGACATCACCTACCACTTCGTCATGCAGCGCCTGCCCCTCTACTTCATCGTCAACGTCATCATCCCCTGCCTGCTCTTCTCTTTCCTAACCAGCCTGGTGTTCTACCTGCCCACAGACTCAGGTGAGCGCGGTCGCCATGACTACAGCTGCTATGGAGCTTGCGCTGCTATGTTAGGGGGAGCCAGGAATAACTGTGTGCTAACAGAGGCCCAGGGACCCAGTTCGTCGTTGCTGTGGGCAGGGTGCCGACGGACAGTCACCAAGTGGCTGTGTGATACCAGTAGAGCTCATAGCAGGAACCGAACTCAGGTTCCCCTCTTGACCATTCAACCATCTCTCCAGCCCCACACACCCTTAGAGCTTTGGAGCCTGTCCTGGAACTCCCTGTATAGACCAGGCTGGCCTCGAACTCACAGAGATCCACCTGCCTCTGCCTGCCGAGTGCTGGGATTAAAGGCGTGTGCCACCACCACACGGCACACCCCCGTATTTCTACTTATTTATTTTTATGTGTGTGAGTATTATGCCTACATGTGTGTCTGTACGCTACATGTGTGTGCCTGATGCTAATGGTCAAAAGAGAACATCCGTTCCCCTGTGAACCAGAGTTCTAGATGGTTGTGAGCTTTAATGTGGGCGCCGGGACGGAGTAGCCAGCGCTCTTGACTGCTGAGCCCTCTCTCTTGCCTCCCATATTTCTTTCTGAACAAGTAAGTGCAAATAAATATTTCCAGCTTCCCAAGCAAATGAAACTTCTGAAAGCAAGTAGAAAAACGCTGACAAAGCAATGTACAAACTAATTAGCATCTATAAATTCTGAATTATGACCGTATAACAGAAGAGTTATGATTACTTAGTACATAACTAAATTGTATAACTAGATAAGAAATGGTAAATAACAGTAACTTAATATTTATAATTCTAACTTCTTGGGGGCAGAACTGAGGATTCCCTGTTTTACTCTGTGTCTTCCTTATTTAGTTGCTCCTCAGGAGTCACAAGAAACCCGTTCTAGGATGCCTGCAGGTCCTGGAATCCAAGGATGCTCAAGTCCCTCATATAAAACGGCATCGCAGTCACATGGAATTTCTGCACAACCTTTGAGACTTAAAATTACTTTCTGATGAGCTGTAAAGGCTACACAGATAGTTCCCATGCCGCATTGTCTGGGAGACAGTGGCAGAAAAGCCTGCATATGTGCAGTATAGATACGGTCCAATTTTCCTGAATCTCTCCAATCTGAGTTTGATTGAATCCTTGCAAAATCTGCAGGTACAGAAGGCTGACTGTCCATCTACCATCTGGAAGACCACCTACGAAGAAGACCACAGTAACAGCAGGCAGGGCAATAGGAGAGACCCCCCAGGGACCCCAACAAGAGCAGCCCAAGGTTCTCTATAGCACCCCACCACCCTTCTTGCTGCCTGCTCAGCCAGGAATTCTGAGACTCGGGCCTGCAGGAAAAAAGACAGGGACTTAAGGGGATCCTTACTATGAAAAATAAAACAAACCGAGAAATGTGTGAAAAGTCAAACTTTCTAGACAAGAGTGAGAGGGGGCAGGGGTTCAGAGTCCCAGGGGCATCCAGAAGACAGCTCCTCATTGGCAGATTTGGTCTCTTTTTCAGTTTGGCCTTGCAGCTTGCTTCATACTGAGAGAAGTGTATTTCTGGGCTGCCCAGCCACCTGCTGGCTAACAAGAGAACTAGTCCTGAAGTTTAGCCCCACTCCCACCTTTGTCTAGCTTGCCAGCCCAGAATCCCCCCTGTTTTCCTGAGTCCCAACAAAAAAGAAGAGTTTAGGCCATGAAATTCACTGCTTGGCAAGATGGAGTGGAAACTCTGGCTGCTCGATGCTGTCAGTAGAGTTAAGACGCTGCAGTCACACAGGAAAGAAGTCCCCAAATTAACCCTTGAGAGCATGCCGGCCACGTTTCTTCACCTTGGACTTTGGTGGCAAATGAGGGTACAAGGACGGCCTTGATGGGAATTCACAGATGGGGTGTTCTAAACAATACCAGCTTCTGTCTTCTTAGCTCTGAAAACTCAAACTGAGAGCAGGGAGCCAATGGGCTTCATCCATCTCAGGCCAATCTCCCAGCCTATCAGAGGCCACCTTCTCCATGTCCTCACATGGTCCTCCCTGTGCGGGTCCGTGTCCACAGTCCCCCTTGCTGTGACGCCAATAATCCCCCTCCCCACTCTCGTGTTGCCTTAATTAGCTCCTTAATGGTCCCCTGTCCAAGCACAGCCCACACTCTGAAGTCTTGGGGTTCCAGGAAGGGGTGGTTGTCGCATTTCTTCCTTTTGTCTTTTTAGGGGAGAAGATGACGCTGAGTATCTCTGTCTTGCTGTCCCTCACTGTGTTCCTTCTGGTCATTGTGGAGCTGATCCCGTCCACCTCCAGTGCCGTGCCTTTGATCGGGAAGTACATGCTGTTCACCATGGTGTTCGTCATCGCGTCCATCATCATCACCGTCATTGTCATCAACACGCACCACCGCTCGCCCAGCACCCACATCATGCCTGAGTGGGTGCGGAAGGTGAGTGCTGGGAGCCGCAGGGCTCCCCTCCAGCGGGGCCAGCGACATACTTAGGACTGAAAGTCCTTCTTGGACTTAGGAACCTGGAGCAGTTTTTGTGGGTACAGGTAGCCTTCCTGGACAGAGGAGAGTAAATGGATAAAGCCTGCTCAACCTTATGAAATCTCTGATTAGAAATGAATAGACCCCTGTCTTATCTTTTTTTTTTTAATTTTGTTTGTTTTATTGATTGGTTTTCGTTTTTCAAGACAGGATTTTTCTGTGTAGTCCCAGCGGCCCTGGAACTCACTCTGTAGACCAGGCTGTTCCCAGACTTACAGAGATCCACCTGTCTCTGCCTCATGAGTCCTGGGATTAAAGGTGTGCGCCACCACGCCAGGCAAGGACATTCCTAAGATTTGTATTGGTGTGTTTCTGTTGAGGAGAATAGAATAAGGAAGAGAGAGAGCGAGGAGAGCCCTGACGAGAGTGTGTGCTCACAAATGTTTCTATTGTGGAACTGAACATGAGTTATACCTCCCATGTGTCTTTTTATTTCAATCAATTAATTTTGTAATCATGCTGGGGATGGAACTCAGGGCCCCGAACATTCTTGACAAGCACTGGACCACTGAGCCAAATATGCCCACTTTTTATAAGCGTCATACAGACACTTAACTGTAGGACAATAGTGTCAGTAATCATGGCTCACCGTGTAGGCTTTCTGGAGGACACCAACTTGTCCCTGTTAGATAATTCTGCCATGTGTAACATCAGGAACAAAACGCAGAAGAAAACAGTCAAGTTATTCTATTCTGTGTGCTAAACGTTTACATGCTTAAGGCTGCAGGACAGGTCTATAATCTAGGTTCCTGGGAACACACTTTCTGTTGGCTGCAGAGTCTGGTAATGCAGCGGAGGTGGCTGCACAAAGGCTCCCTCCAGTGGCAATCTGCTGACATTACAGAATCATAGCTGTAGACTACAGCCAGGAGATGTATTGTTCTTGACCTGTACTGCAATCTTTCCGTTTTAAGGACAGGGAGGGTGAGGTCTGGAGATGCTGAGCGATTTGTCCAAGATTACACTTCTAACTCAAAGATGGTGGTTCTTGAAATGTTGACAAGAAGTCTCATGCCGTGGATCTCTTCTTTATGTTAGGTTTTTATCGACACTATCCCAAACGTTATGTTTTTCTCCACAATGAAAAGACCATCCAGAGATAAGCAAGAGAAAAAGATTTTTACAGAAGACATAGACATCTCTGACATTTCTGGGAAGCCGGGGCCTCCACCTGTGGGCTTCCACTCTCCCCTGATCAGGCACCCAGAGGTGAAAAGTGCCATCGAGGGTGTTAAGTACATCGCGGAGACCATGAAGTCAGACCAGGAGTCCAATAATGTAAGCTTTCCAGTTCACACCTCGGGGCTTAAATAATCAAATGCATGAGTGTGGCAGGTGGGTTTGGCATGACCAGTGAATCGGCTTCAGCCTCCAGTTACTGTCCTCAGAAGTGCTGTGCTGACTGCTTCTAGGCCATTCTAGTAACTCACTTTGGTGGAAAACAATTCCACAAAATCTAAAGATCAAAATATCAGCCTCAAGTGTTAAGGCTTGGAGATTTACATACTGAAGGCCAGGCCAGTCGGGGATGCTATGAGCCTGTGTCCCATCTTAAGGGATTCCTGTCTCATGCTCTTTTCCCTCCCAGGCATCAGAGGAATGGAAGTATGTTGCCATGGTGATGGACCACATTCTCCTTGGAGTCTTTATGCTGGTATGTCTCATCGGGACACTGGCTGTGTTTGCAGGTCGGCTCATTGAGTTACATCAGCAAGGATGAGCAGAAGGTTGAACCTACCTCTGCCCCAGCCCCAACCAGCACTGGGAAAGAGGAAGTTCTTTAATACGTTCACATTTACCAAACATGCAGTGTTCTACATGTCCCATTAATAGTAGTGGTCTCTGTTTACAGGCTATGGTCTTGAAGTATTTCCCCTTTGCTTCTCTTCCAACCCCATGGGTCTTCTTAAAGAGTGAACCCTTTGTAGTAAATAAAAGTAAGCCTTCAAAAAAAGAGTTCCTTTTTAAGTGACCACTCGGAGAGTTTTGCTTAGATACTAAAGGTTTTCTCTTGTATTATCATTGTTAATTGTTTTTGTTTTCTTTTCTTTAAAGATTGTACATGTGTAGTTGTTTTGTCTGCATGTATGTCTGTATGCCACATACATGCCTGGTGCCCATGTATGTGGTCAGAAGGTCAGAAGAGGGCATCTGATGCCCTGGATCTGGAATTACAGATGGTTGTGAGCCACCATGTAGAACCTGGGAACTGAACCCAGGTCCTCTGGAAGAGCAGCCAGTGTTCTTAACCCCTGAGTCATTTCTCCAGCCCTTTATTATTTTTAAAGCATAGAGAATCCTTTACTTAGACACATGGCTTCATACCTACTAGGAAAACCTGTCTACCAGATCCCCCAAAGACAAAGCATTTGATGTGGACACAGAAGAAAAGTGTGTGTGTGTGTGTGTGTGTGTGTGTGTGTGTGTGTGTGTGTACTTGACACATGGAAGAAACAGAGGACAACTTTTAGGGACTGGTTCTCATCTTCCCCTTCATTTGAGGCAGAGTTTCTCTTGTTATTTCTGCTGCTGTGTTACATACTCGAAGCAAGCTTCCAGGGATAGGGGTGGGGGGCAGAGTCTTCTCTTGACACTTCCCACCCCACCAGTGCTGGGGTCACAGATGCACCCAGCCAGCTCCAGCTCCTAACACGGGTTCTAAGACTGAATTTAGGTCTTTAGGTTTGTGCAGCCATAATAACTTTTACCTGCAAACCCATTTCCCTGGCCCAAAGGTAATCTTAGGGCCATCAATATGCAAATAATACCAAAAACCCCCTCATGATTTAAAGTAGACTTTTGATATCAGGAGGAGGAGAAAAGTTTCTGAAATGGTTTTTTGTTAGAAAGGCCTTTTTGGAAGGATGTTTGGGATTGCACCCAGAGACTTGCAAATCCAAGTGAGCATGGAGCCTGAACTTGCCCAATTTAGCAGGATCCTGGGAGTTTGTTCTCAGACTTATGAAGAGCAGGCCCTGTGACCACTGAATGCCAGCCCCTGACATTGTGAGAGTCATCTCACCTCTATAAATTTATTTTATCCAAATAATTTCACACAATATCAATAATGCCCCTATTTTACAAGTGAAAAAAAAAGTGAATTTGAGAAGAGATAAGCTCTGCTCCAACTAGAAGGAGAAAAACTGAAATCTGAACCCAGTCCTTAAGGTTCTAAAGCAAGGTTGGAGAGATGACTCAGTGGCTAAGAGCATTGGCTGTTCTTCCAGAGGCTCTGAACCAAGGACTCACAATGACCTATAGCGGGATCTGATGCCCTCTTGTGGCATGCGGGCACCCATGCAGAAAGAGCACTCATACATAAATACATAATTTTTTTTTTAAGGAAAAAAGTATGCTAAAACAACTCCCAGTTGACCCTGTCACCTGCTCCCTGTCCCGGCCAAGCTTGGCTTGATCTAAGCCGTTCTGTCGCTCTGGGCTATGGTGTTGGGCACTCTGGTGTTGGTGTCCTCCCACATTCTGCCTTCCCAGTGAAACTTCCTGACTTTTCCTTCAGTCCTTACGCCAATCATGTTTGGAGTTCAAGTCCTATGAACGGAACCAGAAATGCCCACACACATCATGGCCTCTAGCGAAGTCTGGAGAATGACTTCTCTCATTCTCTGTGGCAGACTTCTGTGAAGCCTTCTCTGTGGCAGACTCTAAGCTTCCACACAGCTCTTCCACTGAGAAATGGGGCAGCTCCGGAGTGAGGAAAGGCCTTTGGCTCACAAGCACATCTGACCACAGTCAGCCCCAGGGAGAGCCATAAAGGGCACCCCCGAAGGCCAATCAGAGCTCAGGTGGCTTCGATCTCCTCCAAGGCACGCCCATCACCCCTGTAACAGTGCTGGGCGCTTCCATCCCGAACAGCTCGCATTTTAAACTGAAAACAATTGGCGGCTTCTCCAAAGGCTCATCAGAAGGAAAAGCTTGTGCTTATTTGTCTGAGAATGTGCCTTGAAGAGCGAGCCAAGAGAAGGCAATCTAGGTGCTCACGCACAGATGAACAAAATGGACATAGACACGAGGGGTTTTGTGTGTCTGTGTTCAGGTCTCAGGGGCCATCCACTTTGTGTGTGTTTTGTTGCTGTTGTTTTGTTTGTCTGTTCTGAGATAAAGCCTGGAATGTGGCAAGCAGGCTAGGCTGGTGAGGCAGCTGGCTCCAGGATCTCAGCCCACACTGCCACACACAATTTTGTTGACATGGGTTTTGGGGCTCCTACTCATTTTTACATGGCTCCAAAACAAGCATTTTTATCAATTGATCTAATTCTTAAACCTTTTTCCATCATGACCACTGTTTGCTTGAAAAATGTTATACAGGAAAATAAAACATGCACAAAATAAATAACAAGATTTAATTAAAAATCTTTTGGTATGCATATAATTTTATCAGCTATTAAGGAAAAAGCACAAATTTGCTTTTGAGGAGGATTGTGTTTGCAAATTGTCCAACACAATTCCCTTTTTTTCCTTAAAAATATCTATTTATTTATTATATATACAATATTCTGTGTGTATGCCTGCAGGCCAGAAGAGGGCACCAGACCCCATTACAGATGGTGGTGAGCCACCATGTGGTTGCTGGGAATTGAACTCAGGACCTTTGGAAGAGCAGACAATGCTCTTAACCTCTGAGCCATCTCTCCAGCCCTACAATCCCTTTCAAAGATATTTTAATATGATGATACTTCATGGTAGGGAGGATAGAAGGTACATACTAAAAGTCTTTGTTTTCAGTGATTAAACCATACTGCAGCGCACACCACCTGTCTGTGCCCTATGCGCTACCGTACAGTTCGCGAGCTTCGGGCAAGGGGCTGGAGGTTGAAACATGTAAACACTCACACAGAGACAGAGAGACAGAGACACGGACCTCTAGTCACTGGTAAGAAGCCCTTTATTCACTAGCACCATGGAGGCTTATATACCCAACAGTCAGGTGGGCCAACAGGTGAAAACCTTATCCTCTGATCCTCAAGGCCAAGGCAACCCGTGCTCGTGAAGCAGAGCTGGTAAACAACTTTGACACAGCTTTTAGCAACTCAAATCAGAAGGAAAGTAAAGATCTCTAGCAGGGAAGAGCAACTGGAGGCCAGGACTCCAAATGGTCCCAACACCATACTGTGTTTGTAAGAGCAGAAAGAACACTGCAGTTCTAGCATTCACTAGTTTCAAATCTGCGCAGAGGAGTATCAGGCAGAGTTCGTGGGTGTTCTGTAGCATGGACGGCATGCACGGTGCAAAGTGTTTGTGTGGTGCGTGTACTTTTGCACAACCAAGACTGCAGTGAAGTCTTTGGCAACTGTACATTCAGAAAACTTTTACTGTCGTCAGATCTTTTTGCAACCCCACATTTGGTCACATGACCATGCGGCCACAAGCCATAGTTTACAAGAGGCTGTGGGGAGCTAGAAAGGAGGGGACGTGTGGGGTTACCATTCATGGGGACAGACTTTCACTTTGGCAAGATGAAAAGTTGGGGAGACAAATTGCGGTGACGACCACATGGCATCCTGGATCCACTTGACACCCGAGAGCTTTATACCAAAAACTGGATGAAGGCCACATAGGCCACATTCCGTGTCTGTGTGTTCTACAACAAACGGAAGACAGGTAAGCCAAAGGCCTCAGCACCGAGCTCTGAGAACAGGTTCTAGGAATAGACTGAAGACGTTCTTCGTGCACAAGGAATTTAAGACCCCCCCCAGAGAGTCCTCTCGGATCCCAGAGCTTGTTAGTGACAATTACTAGGTCTGCAAGTCCTGCTCTTTGGCACTTCTTTGGGTTTTGGGAGACTTTTGTTTTGCTTTGTTTTGGTTTGATTGTGTGTGTGTGTGTGTGTGTGTGTGTGCATTTTCTTTGTGCGTGTGATTGTGTGTATTTGAAGGCCAGAGGGCAACCTCAGACGTCATTCCTCAGGCCTCATCCACCATTTTGATAGTTCGGTTGTGAGTCTAATTTTAACGGCTGAGCCATCTTGCCAGCCCTCATCCACTGTATTTTTTAAAGATGGGGTCTCTCACATATGTGGAACACACCGAGGAGGCTGGCTGGCCTCAGGGACATGCTGGCTCTGACTTCTCAGAGTCGAGATTTCAAGTGTGTGCCACTGTGCCAGGTGTTTTGCTTTTAAGTAGGCGTTCTAGGGACCAAACTCAGGTCCGCGTGCTTGTAAGGCAAACGTTTTATCAATTAAGCCATCACCTGGCCCCATCATGCTACAGTCCATGCAGTCGTGACCCCTCCCCCCACATGTTCTATGTTCTCCACTCTCCCTCACCCTACAAGTCAGCAGCTTGGCCCCGGGTAGCTCCTGTACTACACCAGTGTGCCCTCCAGCAAACTCAAAAAAAAAAAAATAAAATAAAATAAAATAAATAAAACCGGCTCGAATCTCATCCTTCCAAAGCCTGATTTTCAGGAGGCCACCAATAAAATTAATGCAGGAGCTCCCCACCTGGTGGTGGTTGTGAAGGGTCCAGCCTACGGACCCAGTGTGTCTGTGTTCCTGCATCTGCCTGGATGGCAGAATAGGTTCGGGGAAATGAGGACCCAGAACTCAGGCAGGTACCTTGTTACGGAGACAGATGAGCTTTCAGGGATCAGGTTCCCGAGAATCTTCACTTGGATTAGAGGGCTCAGTGAAGACGGTGGGGTGGGGGGAAAGTGGAGGGATTCAGGAATGTGAGGAGGGGGCTAACAACAAACTCCCCCATCGTGGGTGTGGAAGCAGCATCCGTTCCGGTCGCACGACAGACCGAGCTGCTGCGGTTACTGCGTCTCTCCCGCTCTCAAATGCTGGCCCACTAACTTCCGGTGCAGCCATATTGGCAGATGGGGCCCTTGGATAAAATCTCGGAGGCT